TATATATATATATATATATATATATATATATATATATATATATATATATATAGAGAGAGAGAGAGAGAGAGAGAGAGAGATGCGTGCTTCTGAATACAAGGTCACTATGTTCTCCAAGTTCCCAAGAATGCAAGAGTTCAGAAGTCTACATGTCCCCTGGCCCCATATGCCAGGTTTATGCTGCCCAACCTACAGGCATACATACAGGTTTGGGGAGGAGGTCTTGGACTCTGGACACCTCCACTCTGCTAGCTGTATTACATAGTTTCTCCATTTCAACTGGCTTGACACCTCCCACCCCCCATTCTTTCTGACCTCGGGCTGAAGGGTACTAATGCTCCATTGCACGTAAGTTTCCAGGCAGTTTCCAAAAGAAGGAAACAAAAACGTGCTGCAATCTGTGCCTCAGATTAAGTTCAGCGGAGTGATCCAGTAGCCAGTAGTTCTGTTCCTTTCTCAGGAGGTCTTGCAGGCTGTGAAGGGATGCTGAGGAAAGGAAGGTAAAATGGATAGCCTGTGCAGAGCGTACAGAGAAGCCATGTCTGTCACAGGAAGTAGATGGCCAGGAGTAAAGTGAGATGGTGGAAGAGTGTGAGCCACACTCCAAGTTTCGGACTTCATCCTAGGGAACCACTGGGAGATTTCAAGCACAAAACAGCTTGCTAAGATGAAGCTTTTAGAAAAGTCACCCTCAATATAGATGAAAGGGTTAAAGGGGCTGGGAATCATATGTAAGGTACAAAATTTTAAAAGCTGGGAGAACATTCTAGACATTTGATACTGAGGTTTTATCATAGCTAAATGGGCACATCAGCAAATTGTTTGAATTCGGTGAGACCACTCAAAATTGGGTTGTGTTAAATAATAGGAACATCAGGCTAGTGACTAAATCTACTGGGTGTGCTGCCTTTTACAGGGCTGAGGACTTTGTGTTTTGCTGTGGCTGAGATTTCCGAGAGCGACTTCGAGGAGTGGCGGGCCGTCTACCAGCACGCCTCCACGTCGGTGCAGAACAGGCTGCTGAAGCTGGAGGAGAGCTACGAGCTGATCGAAAAGGTACCTGGAGCATTGTCGCCTTCAGAAAGCGCGTTTCCACAGATGTCCATCTTTTGCTTGGGGATCAGTAGAGTCAAAAACTGTACGTGTAAAGGGACGGTTGTCTAGGGGCTCCCTGAGTTCCTTTCCTGGCGTGGACCAGGAAAGAAAGACAGAAGGCGAACCTACAGAGAAAGGTAAAGAAGCAGTTTAATACCTTCAGGGTGGGAGGGGCCTAAGGCTGAAGCTCTCTAAATGGATGCTGCTGGCTCAGGTATGTTATAGGGCTCCCAGGTCCCTCCTTTTCCCTTACTGGGTCCTATGTCTTCCATCTCTTCTCACAATGCTTTCTGGGAACAAGAAGCCACCAACCCAGGGAGCCCAATTTCACTTTTCTTATCTACTTGTGTTCCTCTAACACTCATTCATCTATTTGATGACAAGCCTTACTATTGAGTCTGAAGATCAATAAACTAATAAATCTTTATGGTCTAAAAATCTTCCTGAAAGGGCCCAAGGACTAGGTTTTGTTGTACATAGACCTTCTCTGTTTCTGGTTTTGCATCATGAGTGGGTTCTGAGTACAAGCATTCTCCCTGCCCGTGTATCCCATTGTTTCTGCATCACTGAAGACTTGGGTCAGGTACACACACACAAGCAGGTATGTACTTAAATGCATGGGGACATCTGCACAGAGGCAAATGTGCACACACAGGCACATACATATGCAGACGTAGACATGATGTGTCTGTTTATAATTACTATGTTTATGTAATATGAAATGATACAGCTTTTCAGATTTGTAATAAACTGTAATACAACAGTCTGAGAAAGCCTGGTGCTTTGTCCTGCACTCATTTGGGCTGTAACTACTTACTATGTTCCTTTATGATTTCCATCAAATGCCTTCATTTTACAGTTAAACAGATAAAGCCTATTCAGGCTGACAGTGGTAGATAGCCTCTGATTGATGCTGCTTCAGCAGCCAGAACTCTTGGCTCCTTAACAACAACAAACACTGGTTGGTCCTTACTGTGTGCCTAGCTGTACAGTGGCATTTTGGTCTATTGCCATGTTTAGTCCTTTGGAGGAACTAATTATCCCTACTTACAAATGAGGATACCCAGGTGACAGAGAGACTAAGACACTAGACCAAGGTCACAGAGCTCAAAAGAGGATTACTAGACCCCTGTGCTCTGATGGATCTGAGGGCCTTCACCATAGCTTAAACTTGCCAGTCAGTCTCTGCCCAGTTACCTGATTCCCTCAGTGTCTTCCCTGGGTGCAGCATGGGATCAAAGGAGCCTCTGAGGTGCAAGTCACCAGATCTTGCCTGCAGGTGGTAAGGCTGACATTTTCCTCTCTTTATTATGAAACTAGGTACTTCCTGTGCTGGAGGGCAACCAGGACTAAGACCTCCCAGGACTAGTTCTCCTTCACCACACCTACCCCATCCCCTCCACACCCTTCCCTTCATGTAACACTAGGGAACATCTTATTCTAGCTGCAGGTGGTTTTTCCTCAAACACATGCAAATGCTACATGTAACTCACAGTATGCTCCTGTCTCCAGAAAAACACTGTAATCAGTTTAGAGATGGTAGCTTGTTTCTTACGTAACTTAAGGAGTATTATATGTCCCTTATACTTAAATATTATTTACGAGGAAGATATCTAGATGATTTAATCTATGATTAAAAACTTTTAACTGGCCCGGCAGTTGTGGCGCATGCCTTTAATCCCAGCACTTTGGAGGCATAGGCAGGCGGATTTCTGAGTTCGAGACCAGCCTGGTCTACAGAGTGAGTTCCAGGACAGCCAGAACTACACAGAGAAACCTTGTCTCGAAAAACAAACAAAAAAAACCAGAAAACAAAAAAATACCACTTTTAACTGGGATACACATTCAACCATTATCCAGCAGATGGCGATCATGAGTTACATTAAAATTTAAGTTTCCTGGAGGACTTGCTTTTTCCCCCCTTAAACAGAATACAAATACAGAAACCTCCTTAAGACTGTCTCTTACAGGAATGAAAAGGAGAATTTAGAGCTAACTGATTTTTAACATTTGTGTTAACCCGCATGTTGAGAAATCTGTGATGTAGAACGGTAGGGAACAGAGTTCCTTCCTCAGCGTGCCTGTTCCAAGTAAAAATAGCGCTTTGTATGCTTTTTTACCCCAAACATAGGGTTCTTCTCTCAGTATTCACTTAATCAACATTCACTGAATGATTACGGTGTACTAGATCACGGGGTTGCTATGCAAATAAGGACGACTCTCTGAGGCCTCTAGGCACCACTGTGGTCTACACAGATTTCCCTGGGTGAGGAACTCCGAGGAAGGTCTGAAGGAAGCTCCGGAAATAGCTCTACAAAAAAAATGTTTTGCCAGTTAGAGAACAGTCGTATTTGCAGGACTAGGCAGAGCCCTTAGAGGACTGCAGGGCTTTAGTGTGTGTGTGCGCGCGTCTGAGTGGGATAGCTCTGCTGTTGGTCTGAGGTTCCCCTCCGTTAAAATCAGCTGAGTTGGCATTCAGAAGCTGTGGCTACTGCCCTTGCCCAGTGAGACACCAAAGAGACCACCAGTTCTGGAGGTGTTTCACCTGGCTGTAAATTTAGCTGTCATGGCCTCAAAGTTCATCTGCATTGCCTTACTTGTCTGAGACACTGACTGTGCAATCTGTTCTTTATGACTTTGGAATCCATTAGCCTGTAGACAAGTACTGTTGGACCAAATGTGGATGGAGGACGGCTAATTTCTAAACTCTGAGAGCGGTTGTCATTTTTCTTTTTGTTTTTAGAGCAGAGTCCATTTTTCCAAACAAAACATTGGTAAATCATAAGATGGGAGGTTGATGAAAGCTAAGCTGCTCCAGTTAGCATAAAGGGTAGAGAGAGGCCCCTCTAGCTCTGTCCTCTGCCTCCACCTTGACTCATGGTGGTCCATGAAGAGCCTCCCAGGACTCTGGGCACCACTGAGTGCATTATGAACACTGTATTATGTTACATCTGTGTGTGAATGTTTTAGGAATGTGCTTTTTAAAAGGATCAGGGCATCACTGTCATGCAAGATGCTTCCGAGTTTATTACTGTGAGTGATACAAGATGCCATGGACCAGTAATCACGTTACATCGAAAACATTCTAAAGTGGAGAGATTTGGAGAGCTTCTCCTTTAAAATATATATATATATATTTTAATATATGACAGAGTAAGTGAAATTTTTATAGTATAATTAAAGTTGTGGTTATAAACTCTCATATCCCTCCACTATTTGTCCAAACTAGAGATTTGGTTTTTAAATTTGAATTAAACCCCCTCTTCCTTTGGGAGTTATAACTCCTACATAAGCTTGAAACTGTGTGGCCAGGCACAGTGACACATGCCTTTAATCCCAGCACTCAGGAGGCAGAAGAAGGGATATGGCTGTTGGAAGCCAAACTATTCTACATAGACAGTTCCAGGCTAGCTGGTGCCGCATAGTGAGACCCTTTCTCAAAATGGATGGATGGATGGATGGATGGATGGATGGATGGATGGATGGATGGATGGTTGGATGGATGATTAGATGGATGGATGGTTAGATGGATGGATGGATAGTTAGATGGATGGATGGATGGTTAGATGGATGGATGGTTAGATGGATGGATGATAGATTAGGCCACATCCAAGAGAATACTGACATGCATCCTTTACTGTGACCCTGTTGCTTTTCTTCCAAGACAGAAGAAAATTCTCATGTCTTAGAATTCACTGGCTTTACTCTTCAGGGCCATGCCACAGGGAACAGAATGTGGGAGGCTTAAAAATGTTCTAGATACTGTCCTCTCTGTGGACAGTGATTGTTAGAGAAGATTCGGGATTTTAGGGCCTATGGTGTTTGGGTGCCAGCGTTTGCATTCCTGTCAAAGACTCTTCAAAATAATAAAAAATTCTAATGCTGTGAGTTGTCTCTAGAATAGATGACTAGGACTTTGTCACTGAATATAAGATGAATCGTAACGTTTGTTGCTAGGAAAGGCCAGGTTCCTCAACTGTTAGAAAGTAGAGAGGATTAGGATGCAGAGGGGCTGGCGTCCCTCCTGACAGGCCCTCCCGCTGTCGTGACCCACTTTGTGGTCTACACCTCCTCTTCTCTTCATCACCACCTGAGAGAATTTACAGTTGTCTCATTTTGCAGACACAAACTCACCCTGCTTTGTTTCTCTTCGCCTCCTTTAGAAGGACAGGCACTATATTCAGACTCAACATTTCACCTTACGAAGCCACTTCAGTTGTGCTCTCCGTTTTGGGGGGAAAAAAAGACTAATTTTAAAAACTAACTTAAGGGGTGTCTTTTGGGGGTTTTGTTTTGTTTTCTTTTGTTTGCTATTTCTCATAAATTTATTTATACATGAAATGTACATTTAAAACCACAGTTCTATATTTTACTGTAGTTTATATGTTATGTCTCAGATTGTCTTTTTTTATTTATTTTTTTTATTCGATATTTTATTTATTTACATTTCAGATGTTATCCCCTTCCCCCATTTTCCCCCACATTACTCCTCATCCCATCCTTCCTCCTCCTTTTTTGCTTTTATGCCATTTAAATTATATGCAACTACATGCAAGTGTTAAGGTCAGTTCTAGGTAAGGAACTAGCAATACAACAGATGCAAATAATCGAGGAACATGCAAGACAATAAACCCAGATAGTCAAAAACAAGCAGGACAATAAGCAGAGTCCCCTGATCACTCCCATGATCACTATTTCTAAGGTCTTATCAGGATGATCAAAATATCTAAGCCTACTTCCCTGTCCTAGCCCAAAGTCATTTTCATGCCTGAAGCCTACTTCTTTGTTCTAGCTTAAGATAAAGATTCCTGCCTGTAATTACTTCTTTGTTCTAGCCTAGGATTTAGTTTCCTGCCCGAAATTACTTCTTTGTTTTAGCCTAATGTCAGATTTCTGCCTGAAGCCCACTTCCTTGTCCTTGGCCCATGTCAGATTCTTGCCAAGCAGCCCCAAAAGCTCTC